AATAGAGAGAAAATTACAAAAACATCTTGTTTGATATCTCTTATATATGAAATATTTAATAATAAGATTTTGGCCAATAAATCCAAAACTACTCTAAATAAAATGTGGCAACATTAATGGTTTCTAAAAGTCTTACTTACCTATAACTGTGGTTCTTTGAGTGGTCATCTGTGAATTCACATATATGGATGTTTCTCTGTCTGTATAAAAATTAATCAGAACGTTCTAGAGCTCAAAGGAAACAGACTGTTAGGGAAACCCTTCATCCACTGCACATGTCTCTGTGCCTAAGGGTTAGGCCTTAGTTCCCCATGTCCACTAGTGCCCATGAGTGAACAGCAGCATGTTAGACTGAGAGGAGGATGGGAGAGTTGTGTGAATTCACAGATGACCACTTGAAGAACCACAGCTACAGTTAAGTAACCTGTTCTTCTTCATTATGGTCTCTGTGAATCACACATGTGGGTGACTTGACAAAATCGCTGGTAAGATGTCATGCCAACATAGATGACATGGCCACTCTCCCAACACAGCACTGAGTTTAGCTCTGAAGTTCAACCTATAATGTTTAATGAACATTGAGGGTTGAGACCATTTTGCTATTTTGTAGGTATCTCTTAACTGGATACTGTACCTCTGAGAAAGGCTGTGGAAGCTGCAACAGACTTGATAAGAGTATCCTTCCAAAGAGACAGGTACTGGTCTTTTCCAGTTGGCAAGACAACTTGATTGTGTTCACTCTGATAATCGCAGGGGGGTAATATGCTCACCCATCTTTGAACACTGATAGCTAATGAATAACTTGTTGGATTTTTGGAAGTGTTTGCTTCTGGATGTGTAAAAAGCCAGGGCTCTATGAACATCTAACATATGAAGGCCTTTCTCAAAATCCATAGTAGGGAAAGAAAGTTAGAGGGCTGACTGAGGTAAAAACCTGACACTAACTTTGGGAGAAATGGCATGACGGGAGAAATGGCACGACAGGGAAAATGCTTATCCTTGTGAAACTACAGGAAAGATGGGTCATGTCAAAGGGCACACAACTCACTTGCCCTTTGTGCTGAAGTGATTGCATGAGGAAAGCTGTTTTGTAGGCAAGAAGACTCTGGTCTGTCTTAGCTATTGGCTGGGAGTTGGTTAAGCACGGGAGAAATCAATTATTGTAGTGGTGGATGTTGCACATCTGGAAAGACTGCTGCAAGCCCCTGAGAGTCGGATTTCTGGAGTACTGTGATGCTTGGGAGCTAGGGGTTGCTTTGCCACTATGGCAGACAAACCTTGATGGAAGAATGAGATAAACCATTCTCTTTCAGATGCAACATTGTGTGCAACGAAGAATGCAGGTCAGATTTTCCAATTCACTGAGCAAAGGAAGAGAACTTCTGCCATTTGTATTTGTAGCTATGTTGATAGTTTCGGGGACACATGAATGATCCTACTTAGAATGGGGAATTTTCCATGTTATCACCCTCAGCACGGCTAAGTCTGGATTGAGAATTATCCCGTTGTTCCAAGTAAGTAAGTGAGGAATTGGGGGCAGGTGGTAGATATCTGTGGAATTTATTTTCAGTGTTGCAAACCAATGTTGGCACAGCCACCACAGAATTATCAAGATCATGTTGAATTTCTCCTGGTGAAGCTTTACCTTTGCCCTATTTAGCAGGAGAAATGGTGGAAAGAACTAGAGAAAATTCCTGGATCAATGGGCCATGAAGGCATTTCCTAGAGCAGTGGTTCCCAATCTTGGTTCCCCAGATGTTTTTGGACTAAAACTCTCAGAAGTCTTCACCACTAGCCAAGCTAGCCAGGATTTCTGAGAGTTGTAGTCCAAGAATATCTGGGGACCCACTGTTCTAGAGAATCTTTCCCTCAACCTGCTCAAGTGGAACTGCCAAGATATTCTGTTGTTATGAGTGACAAATATGTCCATGGCCAATTGACCCCATTTGTCATAAATATATTTGAAGATGTTTGTGGCCAGCTCCTATTTGTGATCCCGAGACACCTTCTGACTCAAACTTTCTGCCAACTGGTTGTCTTCCCCTGCCACATGGATGGTTGTTGGGAAGATATGGGGAAAAAACCATTCCCAAAGTTCGATGCCTATAAGGGACATGGAGTGAGTCTTGCCCTGTTTGTTCACATACTACATGACTGTAGTGTTGTACGTGGCAACCTGTACTACTTTGCTTGATAGCATTTTCTCAAATGCCTTAAAAGCTTTCAGTACTGCTAGTAATTCCATTTTTATGTGTTTCTCTCCTTTTCAGACCACATGGCATATATTTGTTGACACCTGCGATGTGCTTCCCATCCTGTCAGGCGTGCATCTGCTGTCACCTGAATCTTGGGCCTGGGGTGCCTGAATGGCCTTCCTATAGTTAAACTGGATTTTTGGACCACCACAGGAGTTGTTGCACTAGTTCAGGGGATCCAGTCAGCAGTTTGGAATTGCTATCTGTCAACATATTGAAAGAAAACAGGTACCAGGGCTGATCTCATTTTTGCCGTGCACTTGGGATCGCCACCATTGTAAATGTTGTGAGACCAAGGAGTCTTTGTGCTGTGAGAGCTGTGATGGTCGCATCTGGTTTGAATTCATTTCCCGACATTATCAACTTGTTCATTCTGTCTTGGGGTAAGTAGGCTCTCATATTTGTGGAGTCCTGCAACACACCAATGCAGTGAACCTTCTGATGTGGTTATAAATAGGGTTTTTCTGGATTCACACAAGCACCAAGATCCACCAAGAGACAAGTTGAACAGGACTTATCTCTCTGCCTTGACCACGGAGTTGACTACAATCAGCCAGTCATTAAGGGAAAACCATAATGCCTTGCAGCCTATGGTAGGCAGCAACTGATGCCATGCACTTTATGGAAACCCTGAATGCTGTAGAAAGATCAAAAGAGAGTGCCTTGATCTTGTATATATGGTTGCCAAACGTGAAATTTAGGAACTGGCAATGGTCTGAACAAATGATAATAATGCCATCCTCCTAGTCAATCACAGCAAACTAGTCTCCCTTTTGAGGAGTGGTAGTATTGTTTCTATTGTCACCATTATGAACTTCTTGCTATATATGTAAGAATTTACATCTCTCATGTCCAGAATTGGCTCTGATCATCATCCTTCTTTGGAACTGTGAGACATCAGAGTAGAACACTTTGGGAAGCAGTTCCAGAGGAATAGACTGTATAGCATCCTTTTCTAGTAATGTAGCCATCTCTTCCTACAGTACCTGACATGGAGTTGTGGGTCTGAAGAGACATGTCAATGGGAAAGTTATAAATTCCATGGCATAATAGTGTTCAGTGATGGTTAGGAACCATTTGTTGTTGGTGACGGCGTGCGAGATGGTGAGATATGGCGCTAGTAGGGTAATGGTATCCTGTGTGGTGCAAGTGAATGGTAAGCAGATCTCAGTCTGTAAGTAATTAAACACATTTGTTTGTTCTGCTTTGGTGTTTGGAACTGGGTGTTTGTATTTTTGGCACTGGAAATGCTGCCTACAGTATTGTGAGTTGGTAATAGTGGAAGTCTTTGATGATCCAATAAGAACTTTGATTATAAGTATGGGTAGGATTGCTCTAGTATTGCTGGTATTGTCTCTGTTGGTATGGTGTATAGAAGCCCATTCTTTCGGCAATATTTCTCTGCTGTGTAATTTCTTCATTGTGTCATCAGTTTTCTCATCAAATAGGCCTACCTCATAAATTGGAAGATTCTCTATCTAACCCTCGAGGCTGCCTTAAGGTTCTTTTTCTTTAGAGCTCTGGAATGTTCTGATGAGGTTTTGTGCAGGTGCCGAAACACCTACATGTGTGATTCACAGAGGCAACAGCTAAGAACAGAAATACTTTTTGCATGGTGCCTACTTGAAAGTAATGAGGGTGACAAGCAGGCCAATCTAAAGCAGGCATTCCAAAAGCAACAAAATAACACCAAAAAGACCATGTCAGTTCAGACAACAAGGTCAGGTAGTTAAAAAGTGGCTCAGAAAACTGATGTGAGAGAAGGCAGTCCAACAGGCATCAGGGTTGTAATATATGTAGGGCTTTTAAAATTATTTAACAGGGCTTTGGCTTAAGCTCAGAAACATATCAGGAGGAAGTGGAATTATTTTAATATAGGAGAGACATGACCTCCTTGCCCAACATTACTAACAGTTTAGCTGCAGCATTTGGACTAGGTGAGTTTCAGATGGCATAATATTTTCTGAAATACACTGCAGTAATCCAACCCTGAAGATACCAAGGCATGGAAAGCTCTGGCCAAATGTATCATAAAGTACTTCAGAAAGTTACATCAATTTCGAAACAAAGTTTACTATATGGCAGTGGGACAGGGCAGGGCATGCAGATATTTGAGAAATGGAAGTTTAGAATCTCCTGGGGCACATGAGATTGCATAGTTTTTTTGGATCCTGGCCTAAAAATACAGACAAAGGGATAAAACAAGAATCCAAGAACAAATGATGAACAACAAAGAATGTGCAAAGTGCCAACGTAAGTCTTTGACTGTAGAGGCAGAAATGTCCCTTGGGTTTGTAAAATTTTAACTTTTCAAAACACTAATACTGTATAGAGATTATGTTACAAACTAGTGCCTTCACTAGTAAAGCATATAAATCATGCTGTAGTATGTAATCTTATAGTAACTTCTACAAGATTAGAAGTAACTACAGTAGTTGATTTATATATTTAATTCAAAGCCAGGATAATACATTCTGAATTACACATGCTTTAGAAAAGAAGAAAGAACTATGATCTCTGATTCTAGATTAAACAAAGGTTAAAGTAACAGTTCAAGTGACTTTTCCTTTACCAGCAAATTCCAAAACCACATTTAAAAGAAAACTGCAAAATGCACATAAGTCCAACGTAAGCATTTTTCATTCCAAAAATTTTAGAGGCAACATCCTACATTGAAGCCAGATGGGTGGAAGAACAAACTAAAACACAGGAAAATGTTAAAGAACAGCAAAATAATGTACTTGCCTCTGTTGCTATGGATGTGAAATTACTGGCAAACCTGACATGTTTTGCCAGAGCTTCTGTACTTGCTGAAATCCCTTCTTTGTCAAGATGATATTCAGGTGTAGCTCCCACCAGTACTATAAGCATAGACTGACATGCCACGAACACCTTTAAAGTAAAACAGAAAGAGTATATTTAGAGTGGGACAGACAATAAATATACTGGTCAGATCTCAACATTATAACACTCTGGTGTGATCAAGAAACAATAGGTGTGCAGACAGGAGACAAGCTCAATAAGTTGTAGCTGATACCAGGGGCAGAGAAACTTGTAAACCAATGGCATAAAGATCTACTTCCTTACTTCAGGAATTAGGAAAGTTTTGGCCTTCCACATCTAGCACATCAGTTAAGTATTTATAGTCCACTTGTAGTCCAGCAAATCTGGAGAACTACTGCTTTACATTCTACTGTACATATCCTTTTCTATTTACCTCTACAGCACAAAGTGAAGCACTGCTTTTGGGGACACTGTGTTAGTGAGGGGAACATCCCTTTCCACCAACTGCTTCCTGTATCTGTCCTTCTTGCCCTGATTTCTGCAGCAGATTATACTACAGTCAACCCTCAATTTACGAACTTAATCCGTTCCGGAAGGAAATTTGTAAATCGAAAGGTTCGTAATTAGAATCAGCATTTCCCCTAGGAATGCACTGAAAACCAATTAATCTGTTCCAGCTGTTTTTGGTTCTTAGGTCAAGGGGCGGTTTGTAAGTCGAAGCATTAGTTCCCATAGGAATTAATGCAAAGTTGGTTAATCTGTCCCTTTCACTAGGGGCAGATTTTTTTTCTTTCTTTTTTATCCTAAGATGGCATCGGTCAGACCTGGGCAAAGTGCAGCCCGCAGGCCACATACAGCCCGCCGGTCATCGCTCCAGTCCGGCCCACCTGTCACCGCTCCTGTCTGGCCCGCACGTTACCGCTGAGTGAGCCGGAGCTCCGGCTCCAGTCACTCAGCACAGCAGTAAGCAAAACTTACTTGTCTTGACTGTTACTCTCGAGCCGCAGGCTCCGCAGCCTGCGGCTCAAGAGTCTGGAAGCGATCCTTGCGCAGGCGACATGATGACGCATCACATCGCCTGTGCGAGATAGAAGACTGTCGGGGAGGAAAGCTGTGGGGAAATGGAGGACAGGTGAGTTAGCTCAATGGCGGGGTTTTTTTCTCTCCCCCTCCCCCCGTGGTGAATGAATTACAACACTCACATAGTTAACTCCCTAAAAAGTATTTTTTTTTAAGTAAAGTTGGTTCGGCCCCCGAACACAATTCAGATTTTTCATGTGGCCCCCTATAGAAATTACTTGCCAACCCCCGGCGTAGGTTAAAACCTACGGCAGGAAGCCACGGAGAGAATGAACGAACAATGTTTAAAAAGAACACTTTTTAAATCAAGCATCTTTTACACCAAGACAGGTACCTTTTCAACCAAGCACCTTTTAAATCAGAACAAGCAGCTTTTAAAGCAACCAAGCACGTTTTTACCCGAGCAGGTTTTAACTCAAACTGAGCTCCCTTTTACCCAAGCACCGTTTAACCCAAACAAAGCACCTTTTAAACTAAATTTTACATTTAAAAATGACAATACCAGGCAGTCCCAGGTCTCTCTCCCCACTTTCTAACCACTTGGACAAGCGAGGAAGCAAACAAGCAGCCTCTTTGCTAACTGAAAGTTCAAATTTCCCACTTTCCCTGCCTTCCCTGTACTTTTTTTCCATTCGTAACTCGAGTCCAAGTTCACAAGTCGAGTCCAAATTTTCCTGTCAGAGCGGTTCGTAAGTCGAAATGTTTGTAACTAGGGCCGTTCCCAAGTCGAGGGTTGATTTATATCACATCCGGAACATACACAGAAACAAACTACAATTCTTGCAGATATAGTACACAAAACTTTTGTATTCTCGAAGGCTTTCACGGCTGGGATCTGATAGCTGTTGTGGGTTTTTGAAATGAGGCGCACACTACCACATGTGCAAGCATAGCTGAAAAATGACAAACGTCCGCTGCCTCATCAAAAGCTAATGTTTTAGTCATTTAACAATTTATGAAGCACAGAGTGCTGTCCTCTGAAGATGCCGGCCACAGAGACTGGTGAAACGTTAGGAAGAACAACTTTCAGAACACGGCCAAAGAGCCCGAAAAAACCCACAACAACCAATTTATGAAACATGTGCAAGCATAGCTGAAAAATGACAAACGTCCGCTGCCTCATCAAAAGCTAATGTTTTAGTCATTTAACAATTTATGAAGCACAGAGTGCTGTCCTCTGAAGATGCCGGCCACAGAGACTGGCGAAACGTTAGGAAGAACAACTTTCAGAACACGGCCAAAGAGCCCGAAAGAACCCACAACAACCAATTTATGATGCGTCCACTGGCTCAAATTCATCAGGAGATATTACTAAAAATGCAAAGAACACATATGCACAATCCTGAATTCTGGAAGACTACAGAAGGGAAAACTAAAAAATAAAGGAAGTCTTAAGGGCCTTTGAGTGGTAATTGTAGAAACACGTAGGTACAAGTCTGCAGATCTGCCAATGCATGTGAGATGAATGGCCTTGAAGGTTTAGACCCAGGTTGGGCTAGTTCTGGCTTTCCAGATCTCTCAATGCCTATGTAGGCAAGGGCTAATGGGAGCTGCAGCCGAACAACATCTGGAAGACCCTGAGTTAGTTTTCAGCACAGCTAATGTACTGAGACGCTGAGGCAAATATATTTTCCCCTCCCTCCCTCCCACGCGCACACACGCGGGTGTAAAGACGGGGGAGGCTTCGACGTCGGCACACTTTTTGCCCGAAAGCCACCTTCGTGCACATTTTTCCGAAGGCAACAGCATCGCCTCACAGCCGTCACGTGGCAGGAACTAGCACTTTCTCCCCCGTCCTCTCCATGCCACGCAGTCTAAGTCAACATGTCACGTCCAGGCGCTGCAAACTCCACAGCCACTTCCTCAACAGTAAAACCGCCCTGAACTCAAAAGAGGCCCGTCGTCCTTCTTCCAGGAACGCGGACACGACGGCAGCCCCTTCCCCTCAGCGAAATGGGGCGGATGGGGGGGGAGGCATTAACGCGCCCCGCGGGGATTCCCGAGTGCCCCCCCTCCCATCCACCCTCCAGGTGTTAAGGGACTCCAAGCTCGGCGGGGATGGGGGATTCTGGGGGCTGTAGTCCACGAAGGTCTGAGGACCACCAACAACAACCCATGCTGGGCGTCAGAGAAGAAGCCCCCCCCCGCTGCCTCCCTTGTGTCGCCACAGGGCCGCGGCCGTTGCCTTGACGACTCGCGCTGCGCTCCTCTCGGCCGCCCCCGCCCCCACATTTTCCGCGCTGTTTTTTGCCTCTTCCTCGCGACTGACAAATGAGATAAACTGCGCGGGGGGGGGAGGTTTCAGGCGCAACCATTTGACTCAGGGAGGGAGGGGGGGAGGAGCTGGACCGTCCTCCCACCTGCAGCAGCACCAGGAACGCGGTGAGCCTCTTCTGCCTGGGGCCGAACTCCCCCACCAACCCAAAGGCCTCGTCCAGGTCCATACGGCTCCGCCGGGCCTCTCCGCAGCATCCCTCATCAAAACCGTCTCGGAAACCGGGAGGTCACGCCTGGAGCGCTAAGCTCGCTTGTCGTTAAGAGCCGTCTGGAGGTGGTGAGGCGGCGGCGGCGGCGGACGCTTACAGGGGAAGGAAAAGGAGGGAGGAGAACTCTCTACAGAGCGACCTCTAGCGGCCGTTGGTGACAGAACAAGGGCAAGGCGAGGCAGGGGGCGGGGCTGGAACGCTGCCACTCAATCTCCCTCTGCGCACCCTCCCCCTTTTCAGGTCCAACGCGTCCGCTCCACAGAAGAAGCCTTGACGCGCAAGCGCTTCTGGGACAAGAGGGCTTGGTGTTCGTCCCGCGGCGGTTACGCGGAAGGCGTGATCCCGGTGGTGAGGCATGTTGGGGGGGGGGATTGCAGAGAGGAACGTCTCCGCCGTCTGCCGTCTAGAGGAGGCCCTGGCGGTCCGAGGAGCTGGTTGTCCCCTGCGGTCACGGTCGCCTCCAAGTTGTGGCGACCCTACGAGTGGGCGCTCTCCCTCATGACCTGGCCTCAACTGCCTTGCTCAGCTTTTGTGAACTCAAGCCTGTGGCTTCCTTTTAAGGAGTCAGTCCATCTCTTCTGTGACTTTCCTCTTTTCCTGCTGCCTTCTTCCACCATTCCCGGCGTTATTTCCTTTTCCAGAGAATTCCCACCATTCCCGGCATTATTTCCTTTTCCAGAGAATTCTGCCTTCCCCTGACCTGCCCAAAGTAGAACAGCCCGAGCCTCAACCTTTTTACCTTCAGGGATAGTTCAAGCTTGGTTTGATCTGGGACCCTCTTGTTGGGCTTTCTGACACTCCAGGGTATCAACAAAGTTCTCCTTCAGCACTCCAAGCGAATTCAGCTTTCTTTCCCTGTCCAGCTTTCACAACCATACATGGGGGTCAGGAATACAAGAGTGCGGATGGTCTTGGTCTCCAGTGACAGCTCTTTTAAGAAGCTTACCTTTCACCAGCAAAACCTAAAGTGGTATTTAATGGGCTAATAGGCTGGCTTGCTGTGTATTGTCATATTAAAAACAAAGTATATACCAACAAGTTTATCATTACAACTGCAGCATGCAGTAAGGAGTAAGGTGCAATACCAGACCTTGAAAAATACAGTACTGTAACTTAAAATTGCAACTCCTAGAAGCCCTCAACCAGTGTGGATGTTCACCATGGCATTGCTGGTAGGAGACTCTGGCATGTGTGACCTGATCTAATGAACAGTTAGGGCCAAGTCAAACTGTCCTTCCTCAGCAAGACAATGTATATGTATAGCATAGCCTTTACAGTTGAAAGAAATACTGTAAACAACATGTATCTGAATGACTACAGCGGTGCCTCCGAAGATGATTTTAATTCATTCCATGGAAATCGGAATGCACTGAAATCTATTTAATGCATTCCAATTGGGGGGAAAAATCACTGTCTTCTGAAAATTCTCCATAGAAGACATTGTCTTGCAAAATACAGTTACCCATACCATATTGGGGAAAAACAATCCCTTCAGCTGCACTGCCTTTGGAAATTCAATGGGTCTCAGATGACCTTCCCCCACTTTCTCTCTCCAGCAACAAAGAAAGAGAATGAAAGGAGTCAAAGATGGCTCTTGATTATGGTGATGCCGCTTGCCCTGATCCTTTAACATAGGGCAGAAAAAGAGGAAATTGTAATGTAAGACATCACCAGGACTTGCTACCTTTGCAATAGGTCCTAATGAGAAGAAAGAGATGAAAAAGAGTACAATTTTCCATTAACATAAGTTATGCAATTGAGTTCCCCACATTTGGGGAAATCACAGGAATCAGCATCAGCATCATTCCCAAAGTGTCATGGATAAACCTTCCCTATAAAAACCACTTTTATAAAGCAGTATTTTCCCTGCAATGTATGATTTGGAATGGCCCTTGCACCTCATATCCCCTTCTGTCCCCTAACCCCCCAGGGCATGGTGACCCCCTGGCTGCACCTCCCACTCAGTACAGGGTGGCACAGCCCCAGTCCTGCCAGAGTCCAAGAGAGCTCAGTGTTTTGGGGTGCCCTGTGGGACCCCCATCAGGGGCTAAGTGTTCCTCCCACAATCCTCTAGTGCA